TCTGTGAGTAAAGGTTCAGAGATCGGGCTGGCATGGCCTGCTACCTGAAGCAGGTGGTGGCTACGATCTGCATCAATGGGCCCAGCGTTGTCTGTGACTTTCCACTCAGGTACCGGGGTCTGGTTGTGGCCCCTCAGCTCTAGAACGCATACAGGTCCTCAGCTCTAGAACGCATACAGGCCCACATCTCTGGGGCTGTGTGCCTGCTCCACATTAAAGGAGACCCTCAGAAAGAGCTTGCTTCCAGTGGAAAAGGCCCAAGGATGGATCCTCTATCTTAGGAGAGAATGACCAACGCATTGAGCATAGAGCACATGCAGAGCAGGCCATGGACCAGCTGAAGAGCCCCGGGAAGAGCAACGGAAGGATGCTGATCTACCCTGGGGCGGGCCATCTCATAGCGCCACCCTATGCTCCCTTGTTCAAGCACTTCCTGTATGTACCTACAGGATATTCAAACACCTTGGATTCTTGTAATTGCAGTCAATAGGGAGACCAGACAATTTTTTTTTTTTTTTGTCGGTCGTGGGACTTGAACTCTGGGCCTGGGCGCTGTCCCTCAGCTCTTCAGCTCAAGGCGAGCGCTCTACCACTTGAGCTACAGCGCCACTTCCGGTTTTCTAGTGGTTTATTAGAGATAGGAGTCTCACGGTCTTTCCTGCCCAGGTTGGCTTTGAACCGCGATCCTCAGATCTCAGCCTCCTGAGTAGCTAGGATTACAGGCGTGAGCCACCAGCACCCGGCGACCAGACAATTTTTTGAAGCTGTGATAACCTCCTACAGTTTTTCACCCCAAATTACCTACTGGTCTTATTCAATAATACCCACTCTCTTTTAAGTACAAGATTATGGCTATTTGCATTCTCTGATTTTAAAAGAGCTATCCACCATCTTTTCTTTCCCCTTCTCCTTTCCCTTCCCTTTCTTTTGCTCCTTTCTTTCCTCCTTCCCTCCCTCTCTTTCTCTTTCTCTTCCTCCTTCCTATATTAGAATTTGAACTCAGGGCTTTATGCCAAGCACTTGTGCCACATTTCCAGTACTTAGTTGTTTTTATCTCCCAGAATGTCTCATGCTAACTGTGTTTTGGCTGCCCTTAACGGACAAACCTATTTCAGCCTTCTAAGCAGCTGGAATTATAGAGCAGAGCCACAGCTTCTGGCTTATCTACAACTCTTCTGTCTATTGAAACCTAATAGGGTGATCTTTAGAACTTACCAGAAGAGGATGTGAAGGGTAAACAAAGGAGGAGGCTGCAATGCTTGGTAAGAAATGTACGCATTATCCTGCCCATGTAATTGTAACCCCTCTGTACAGTATGTTCACAAATAAAATAAAATTAAATTAAAAAAATTGTTTTGCTTCAAAATGAACCCCAAGATAGGGACACAAGAGGTTTTATCTTTGTTGCTGTTCTTATTAATGTACTTATAATGTACTATGTGATTTTTTTGTTTCTTTTGTATGTTCCTCTCCCACAGTATAACTTGTTTTCACTGCATTTGATTCTAGTGCCCTGCATATATATATATATATATATATATATACATATATGTATATAATTTAATTTGGGGAGGGGAAGGGAAAAAACAAAATACTTAAATAAGGCTACAAGTTGATCCATTGTAACAATGAGATTACAACTTTGGCTGGGGGGGGCGGGGAGGAACCGGGTGAGGGGGGAAGTTTTGGGGGAAGTAGGGAAGGAAGAAGGAAGGGATGGTAGGGAAAAAACAAAGGAGGAGGCAACAATGCTTGATAGGAAATGTACTCATTACCTTACTCATGTAACTGTAAAACCTCTGTACAGCATTTTTTACAATAAAAAATGTAAAAAAGTTTCTAACTTAAAAAAAAAGAACTTACCAGAAGAGGCACTTACATTTTCATATCTGCTGAGTGAAATTTCTTCCCCATTTTTATCTCTGTATCTAAATGTTTGCTTTCTGTTCTTAAAGTCCCTATGATTATAATTCTTATTTCCATATGAGTCATGGTCTCCATTTGGCCAAGTTAAGAAAAAGTCTGGCATGCATCTATTGGACAAATATTTTAACAGTGTTCCCTGCGTCAAGCCCTGTTATGGGCATGTAATCAAAGAAATGGAACATGTCATAGATAACTACAAGGATAACTGTTGGGGGAACTTGTCAGGCTTTGCATGTCAACACACTTTTATTAGATTTTGTTTCTTTCCAATATCCTCTGACAGTGAGTCACATTTTCTTAGTCTCCTCTGGGCTTTCCTTAAAAGAGGAAAAGTGGCAGCAAAGCTCATCACAGAATTCATTCTCTCTTAAGCTAGAGGGACCAGTTGTCTCATTTGGCTGGATGACTTTGTCCTTGGCAGAAGACCTAAGCAGATGAGTCTCCAGGCTGAAGAAATGAATCTCATGTGATTGACATGAAAGATGAACGTTAGTGTGACACCTATAAAGTGTCATAGGGTTAAATAAAGGCAACACTAAGTCTAGCATGGCACAATGGCTCAGGGATGGCAGGAGTGCAAGCCTGCAGACAAAAACCTTCATTCCTTAGTGGCATCTTATAAAGCATGGCTGTCCATGCACCTGCCTTCCAAGTCTACAGCCAGAACTCTGAAACACTGTACACAGAACTCTCTGGAATCAAAACTAGAAAGAAGTATGGGAGGACAATGTAATTTATTGTAAATTAGTGTTTTATCTTTAGAATTTTTATCTTTGGAAATATAATCTAGTGGTCAAATACATCAGTGTCATCTTAGTGTGACAAGAAATGAATGATACAGTCTGCCTTCATTTTTTCAGATATCTTATGAACAATCAAATAAAAATAAGTCTTCATTGCTTTTTTTTGTTTTTGTTTTTGTCAGTCATGGGGCTTGAACTCTGGGCCCGGGTGCTGTTCCGCAGCTCTTCAGCTTAAGGCTAGCGCTCTACCACTTGAGCCACAGTGCCACTTCTGGCTTTCTGAGTAGTTTACTGAAGATAAGAGTCTCATGGACTTTTCCTGTCCAGGCTGGTTTTGAACCGTGATCCTCAGATCTCAGCCTCCTGAGTAGTGAGGATTACAGGTGTGAGCCACCAGCGCCTGGCTTCATTGCTTTTTTTTTTAATTAAAAAAATATTAAAGCATGTTTAGGAAAAAAAGAAATCATCCTAAAGTTGGATAACATTATACCTAGGTAGTTTATACAAGATTAGAGACCCCAGAGGTTTCAAACTATTATTATTATTGACTAATTATTTATTTTGAAGTCCTTGGGTTTGATCTCAGGGCTTTGTGCTTGCTAGGCAGTTGCTCTGCCAATTTACCCTTCCCGCCCCCAGTACTTTTCTGTTTTAGTTATTTTTCAGAAGGCCTCACATTTTTGTCTGAGCAGTCCTACTTATGTCTCCTACCTAGCCAGGATGACAGATTATATACTACCAGACCAAGAGTGTTGTCTGAGTTGAGTTCTCACTAACATTTTGTCTGAGCTGGCTTCTAATTATTGTTTACAGTCTCTATCTTCTGTGTAGCTGGAGTTATAGGCATGAGTCACACTGCTCAGCCACAAGTTATTCTTCCTCATTATTTCCTTGTTCTCTTCACCACAGTCCTCTGAGCTAGCTAAGTTGGTTAATTTCTTTTAAAAAAATCCTGTGAAAAGATGCAGACACAGTTCAAAAGCATCTGGATGCAGAAGAAAAAGCCAGAAATAGGAGTGACACAGATCTGGCTTATAATATTGGTATTTATGTACATAGCACTGATTTGTCAGAGCTTCCTTAGCATCACTGTATTGAGAGCCACCTGATTATGTATGGGAAGCTATGTGGTTTAATGTCTAGGATGAAGGGAAGAAGAAATATTCCTTGTCCTCTTTTCCAACGTTAGTTGATTATCACTCTGAAGGTATATGTGAGTGTGTATATGTGTATAAAGTTAGGCAAGTGAGAAGTCAGGAAAAGTTTAACTTTTACTGATCTCAAAAAAATCAACAACTCATACATATCCACAGGCAGGTTGAAGAACGGGTATGCAGAATACACATCTGAGAGTAGTTTAAGAAATCACAGTCTTTTGCCAATCCGTCAGGTCCATCTCTACCCAAACCTGTGTAGTAACCTCTTAGTCATGCCCTTATTTGGGTTTGCGGTCATGTGAATTTGAAAGGAATGGACACTTGTTGAAGTATCTTCCTGGCCATTCTGCAAATACCTTTCTTTGCCCAATGCATGAAACTTAAAAAACAAAGGACAAGAGTCAGAATACATTTTGTGATAGTTTTCTTTTTCTTCTCTTTAGAAAAAAAATATGTACAAAAAAAGCTAAGAAGGATCAACATGAAAATGTAAGAAAACATTCTGATAGGTACAGACAAAGAGCTCCTTATCTCAAAGGAGGTACACATTAGTTAGTTATCACCATGCTAGAAAAACAGGATGCAGTTAAAATCCTAGGAGAGTTAAAAGCCGCAGAGTGAAGATGTTGCTCTGGGGACTCTCTTTTGTAGATGCTCTGAAACCTTTCTGTAAAATAATACTGTGTACACTGTAAAATATTCATTTTTCATACAAAGTCCATACAAGTGGAGATATATAAAACTGTTGAGTTGACAGGAAAGGCTGGTGCTGGCTGCTGTTTGGAAAGAAGGTTACAATGTCACCTGCCTACTAAGGGACAGAATTCTAGGCAGATTATTAGTTTCTTAGAGTCATACAACCTGTTACTCTCCCTTCCTCCCCCAAAAACCTAGGCTTTTTTTTTTGCCAATTGTTGCGTAATGGGGCAACTTCACTAATATTTTACCTTTGAATGTCACAAATAAACTATTAGATCAGAATGCAATGTTTTCATAGAATTTTCTTTTTCCTAGAATTGATTTTAAGATTTACCATTAACCAACATTGTCCTTCCTGGCACTCAAAAGTTTAACTTCCATTAAAATTCAAAAAATTTGGAGGAGGCAGCAACTGTGGTAATAAAAGTTTGAAGTGAATTGTCATATTCACCATCTTTGTGTCTATAAAACTGAGAAAAGAAGGTTTGTGTACAAATCTCACAAAAACAACATCCACCATTGAATAAATGTGATTCTGCAATGCACACTTGAACAAGAAATTTTTGTTGGTTTTAAAATTCTGGCATAAATATATTAAAGCTGACCAAAAGAGAGAGAGAGAGAGAGAGAGAGAGAGAGAGATCAGGGCAAGCTACATCACTTCTTCATACAAAAAAAATGTACAAAACATTTGCCTCTAACTAGATAAACATAATACTTGTCTTCACAGTTGGACATTGAGTAACTGTGTGTTTTGAAGTATTGAATTGGAAAGAGATTAAAAAAAAAAAACAAAGCACAGCTGTGCACCTTACTCTTCTCAGGTGACTTCTGTCATGGAGGCTGAGTGGTTCTGTGGAGAAAACACAAGCAGAAAGGAGCTCAGGATTGGGTTGATTGGCTTTGGCACGCATCCACTCACCTATGAAAATTCCTTCCTTGGGTTTCCTTTCCTGTGCTTTTCCTTTAAAAATTTCCCCAAGTGGGGCTGGGAAGGTGGCTCAGTGGTAGAGCGCTTGCCTTGCATGCCTGAGGCCCTGGGTTTGACTCCTCAGCACCACATAAGCAAAAAGAAAAAAAAAAGCCGGAAGTGGCGCTGTGGCTCAAGTGGTAGAGCACTAGCCTTGAGCTGAAGAGCTGAGGGACAGTGCCCAGGCCCAGAGTTCAGGCCCCACGACTGGACCAAAAAACAAAACAAAACAAAACAAAAAACAAAAACAAAATGTCCCCAAGTGTTCAACTAAACCAGGATCAGATCATTTCTCCACCTAAAACTTCTTTCTATTGGGATAAGTGGTAGAGTGCTTGCCTTTCAGGCATGAGGCCCTAGGTTCAATTCCTCAGCACCACATAAGCAGAAAAAGCCAGAAGTGGTGCTGTAGCTCAAGTGGTAGAGTGCTAGCCTTGAGCTGAAGAGCTAAGGGACAGTGCCTAGGCCCAGAATTCAGGCCCCAGAACCGACAAAAGAAAAACAAAACTTCTTTCTATGTAATTCTAATAATTCTAGTACTGTTTTTGTAATATAAGCATTTAAGTATCTCAAAAGAACTTCAACTGCATCTCACACTTCTAAAATGTTTTAATATTGACTAATACAAATTTTAAAAAATATTCTATATAATTTTCTTATTGGTGGTAGTGGCTGTTTGGCTTGAACTCAGGAGTCTGGGCACTGTCCCTGAGCTCTTTTGCTCAAGGCTAGCACTCTACTGCTTTGAGCTACAGGGAAAATTCTGGTTTTCTGGTGGTTAATTGGAAATAATAATCTCATAGTCTTTTCTGTCTGATCTGGCTTTGAATCACGATCCTCAGGTGTTAGCCTCCTGAGTAGCTAGGGTTACAGGTGTGAGCCACCAGCTCCTGGCCTATATGATTTTTTTGTAGTTATAAGTTCTACAGAAATGTGTTTAATATTTTCCAGTGGTTTGGGGTTGAATTTAGTTAGTTGTCTAATTTTTTCCCATAAAATTTGATCAGTAGGATGCAGAGCCATTACTTTTTTTAAAATTTACTTTATGGTCTTGCACTAGAGTTTGTTTTTTTTTTAATTTCACATGATTTTTAGGAAAATGAGTTAATCTATATATTTACTCTCTTTTGCTTGCCTAATAATCACTGAGAAGAATGCATTAAAAGTTTACTATGATTACTGACTTACACAACCTGCTTTCTTTTTGTAGCTTCTTTTTTTGGGGGTGGGGGTCAATACTTATGCCATTTATAGGTTTATATGATTTAATCTAATAGTAAATGGTAAAAAATAAAAAAGCAATATCCTAAGGTAACCAGAGTGACGTTGGGAAGATTTCATTTATTTATTTAGAATACAAAAGACAGTAGGTACTAATGGGAGGGGGAGAGTGAATAAAGATGAATATGGCTGAAAAAGATAGTTTGCAAGAAGATAGTGTGAAAGTAGAATAATGAAACCTGTTGTGATTATCTTAGGAAGGGAATAAAGAAGAGGGATAGAAGAGGTGAGATAGACTGGAATGCATTATGTACACAAGTAGAAATGGCTAGTGTATGCTAATAATAAACAATATAAGTCTGTACTACCACTTATCCTGAAGCAGGGTTTATCAGAATAATCCTCTGGGAATATTTTTCACTCTTCCTTTTCTGAAAAATAATCACTTGCTGTTTGGGTCTAATCATCAGTGTACTTGGTAACATCTGGATTTCTCATTTAATGTTTTTTTTTTAACAGATACCTTGCTGAGTCTGTCAGGACACACCTGTAAATGCAACACTCAAGAGACAGAGGCAGAAAGATTGAATGTTTGAGACCAGTCTGGGCCACATTGCAAGACCTGTCTCAAAATCCTCTAAGAAAAGGGTCAGACAGAGACAGAGATGAGAGAGAAAGACAGAGACAGAGAAAGAGACAGACAGACAAAGAGAGAGAGACAGAGACAGAGACAGAGAAAGAGACAGAGACAGACAGAGAGCCTTTAAAAATCTTCTTTTCTCTGAAAAAGGAAGGCAAATGATGATTCTATGTTATATTCAGAGTGAGGTAACAAAGTTGTTTTATTTCTAATTTAATTTCTCTATGAGAAGAGAATGTGAACATTTAAATAGAACATGAATTGCTAAAAGCTATTCTCTCTGATATGACAAAAATTGCACAGGGTCATAAAATAATGCTTTGGAAATGACTTCTTTCTATCTGAACTTTCTATAATTTTTATTTTCTGGCCTCTCATTAGTACTGAAAAGATTTTTAGAAAGTATACTCTGTCTCACTCTATTAGACTAAGAGCTATAACAGAAAGCAAATGTTCAAAGCTGAATTAAAGTTGTAAGGAGGAAGAAAGAACTGTTGCATCGGTCTTATATCTTGGATGGTGAGTGGATTTCATGCATGAACTTGCTCTGAGGAGAAGAAGGCAATCCTCTCAATCCTAGAAAGTCATTTTTTTTTTCTGGGAAGATGGTCTGTTTCAAAATTTACAAGGAGTAAATTTACAAAGGAGTAGCACAGAAATTCTTATGAAGAGGAGAAAACAGAAGCTACTTATTTGTGTACCTCAGGTTAAATTATACCAACCCTATAGCACATTTGCATATTCAGGCCTGAAGGGTCATAGATTTCACAAGGAAATTTTTACTTGAATGAAGACTCAGGCTGTGTAGACAGTAGACCAAATAAGGCCTTTGGAATTAGATGTGTCTGTGCTTCATTTTGATTGAGAAACCTTGGGCATGCTTCTTGGACTGTGGGCATCTTTCTTTCCTAATCTATAAACAAATAATACCAATTACAGTAGGATTGTGAAAATTAAATATGGTGGTTTTCAGTGTCTTTCAGGGTTTTTTTTTTTGATGAGCAAATAAAAGGTACAACTTCCTTACTAACCATGTAAAAACGTTTGATATAAAAGCAGTGCTTTTATATCAAATGCTTTGTAGCTTCAATTTCCACTACTGGTATGGCTTGCATCGTGTGAGTGAGAAGTTCTAGCTCCCTGTGGTCTTCATTTGGAGTCACCTGCACAAGTCCTGCTCAGCACTTCTTCTAAGCGTCTACTTACCATGGAAGTTCAGAAAGTGTCAGATTTGGGGTTCTTGATTTTAAATACTGTATCTTAATCTGGCTTTCTTTCATCCATTCAATGTTTATTTCACACCTTTTGAACAGCGGGATATAGAAAAAGTAAGGCAAGGTTCACAGAACCCAGATTCTCAAAGATCAAAGGTTTTCAAGTCTTTGGAAAATATGAGGGGGAGGTATTGAGAGACCCTCAAAGTCCTTTGGCCCAAGCTTAGTGTTCAGAAAGGCCTCATATTATTTTCAATGATACTGCATACATAGTCAAAAACATATACTGAAAAATATGATGGAGGGTCAGCTATAACCTATAGTGGATGACGAAGTTATGAGGAGTTCTGCTGTTTTTAAGAAAAGTCTTTTGGAAACTTTTGGTACTTTTTCCTCTAGAATAAGTAAAACCTCTCTTAGCTTGGCCAACTATGAATTGTGGTGAAGGAAAAGGGAGAAAAAAATCTTGAGAAGAGTTCAGATACAGGATAATGTGTAGGCAGTGAGTACAGAGCAGAATGATGGTAGGTAAAGACATTCTTAAACTGAGATACCCAGGGCACAGCATTTCCAAGGTCCTGCGGATTGATGTGTTAGTGTGACCCAGCATGTGTTTTTCACTCCTTTTCAAAATTAATTTTGGTCTTCAGTTATCTCACTTCAAAAATAGTGGCTGCTTTGAACTCATTGGGTATTGAAACCTAATTAGAAAGTGAAGAAAAGCCAGCGGGATTCCATTTCCTGGAGATTCCATTTCCTTACTTCATTGTAAGGTGTTGTTATTGACTGTCATTCATTATAAAGTGTTGTTATTTACTGTTATCTACTGTAAAGTGTTGTTATTTACCAATAGGCTGTATATAAATTAGTCACATATGGGAGAATGGTGGGAGGGATGATTCAACTCACATGGTGAATTAAAACCCCTTTGTACAACTGCTTAAAGATAATTTTAAAAAGTTTATATATATATTTAAAATAAGTACATCAAAACTGTTTTTTTCTGTTTTATTTCCAATTTGTTAATTAAAAATGTTCACTGTCATGTGAGGAAAGGGAAAACAATAAAAAAAAGCTCATGCGGGGTATAATGGTGAGCCCCAAGTATTTTTCCTTGCATGGAAATAGTTTGTCCCACTCCCAAGGCACACCTTTCCTGATCATATTAATTCTCTGAAGGCAAGAACTGTAGGCCTAATTAGTTTTTATAACTTGGGCATAAGGCCAGCTTCTAGCCATTGTTTTCACTGTATTTGATATTGGTATAATTTGTGGAGGGGAAGGGAAAAAACAAATTGTTTAAATAGGGATACAGGTGGACTCATTGCAACAATGAGATGTACAAGACGTTATGTCAAAAAACAAACTTTACAATTTAGAGGGGGTGGTGTAGTTGTGGAGGTGGAGGGAGGGGATGGTAGGGGAAAAACAAAGGAGGAGGCAACAATGCTTGACAGGAAATGTACTCATTACCTTGCTCATGTAATTGTAACCCCTCTATATAGTATTTTTACAATAAAAAACGTATTAAAATTTAAAAAGCCAGGTTCTATTGTAAAATAACTGGCATTCATTGCATTGAAATTCTAATAGTTGTTTTTGATGCAGACTTAGCACTCATAGTTACCAATCTTTTTAATATGGTGTGGCTCCAACTTATATCACTGGATGTAACAAAAACCTTTTTCTTTCCAAATTCAGCTGACTCACTTTACTCAAGGGTTCTACATCTGTGGATTCAACAATTACAGATCAAACGCATTCAGACAAAATGAACATGTATAGAAGTCTTTGCTTGTTATTGTTCCCTGAAAAATCCCATTATTTGATTTACACTTTATTTATTTGTTTGTTTATTTATTTATTTGTTTGTGCTTGTCCCGAGACTTGAACTTAAGGGCTGGGCATGGTTCCTGAGCTTATTTGCTAAAGGCTAGAATTCTACCACTCAAGCCATAGCTCTACTTCTGTTTTTTTTTGAGTAGCTAATTGGCAATGAGAGTCTCACAGAGTTGCCTTCCCTGGCTGATTTCAAACTATAATCCTCAGATCTCAGCCTACTCAATAATTAGGATTACAGGCATGAACCACCAGTGCCTGGCTTGCACTTACATTTTCTCAAGTACAAGTAATCTAGAGATGGTTTAAAGCACATAGGAGTTTCTGCACATGTTACATGCAAATACTATACTGTCTTCTATGAGTCTTGAACAACTTTGGATTTCAGTCTAATCTGGAGGTTTTGAACTAATCCTCTGTGAATACCAAGGGACAGCTGTACCTTGCAAGGGACAACTAGATACTAAATAAAACTTGGCCTCCCACATAATTAATTACAATTTTAAGAATCTGTAATCATCCATTAGAGGTGAAAGTACAGGAAAGTATTCTAGCTTAAGTTCAATAGAAGAGAACTTCCTGAGACTTTGTGATTGCAAAGCACCTGAGCAAATTCAGAACTACTTGAGGGAGGTGGTGAAGACTTCTTTCTCAAGGGTCTTTACAATGAACCAGAGTCTTACTGACGCTGACTGGATTCAGTGATATCCTCTCTCCAGGGGGAGAACCGATCACAAGGTTTAAGCCCATAGGTTTGGTTCCCTAAAACCACAGTACTATACCTGTGCACTTAGGGTTTCCAGAGGGCTCTCTATCCTTGGGAAAGCCATGAGGGGGACTCCACGGGGATCCTCAGGTTTGGGTTTGGAAGGAGATCCTTGTGTTCCTTTAAAGTTATGAACCACACACATTCCCTGTAGGAAGAGGGGAAGAAAATACCACATTCAGCCTATAGCCACCACTGTCTGGCCATCAAGGAGAACAGCAGGCTTTCCTCTCGGCATAACACTGCTACAGTGACTTCTGTTCTTTCAATGAGGAGGCAGACATAAGGGAAAACTTGAGGAAATCTATCTGCTGAGCACATCTTAAGAGATACAGAAGCATCTACTTACTTACGAGATGGCAAGGACAATCCATCCACTCCATGGATGTGTGTCCTTCGCTGTCAAGGACAAATTGGAATACCTACCTCATCCATTGGCAACCATTCAAGATGATAAATGTAAATCATTTCCTAATAAAAGAATATTTCTTGAGGATGATTATATGCAATGCACTATCCTCATCTCACCTAACTCACCCAACAACTTCCAGTAGTAACAAGAGATATAATATTGTCACCCCTAGGCTGGATAAGAAAAGTTAGGTAACTTTTCCTAGATTACCCAGAGGTTTAAACTCCACAGTCCCTACAGCACTCCACCACACCATCCTGCTTCGTTGTTTTTCCACAAGTGCCAAACACATTAACCAAATGGGAACTCAGTCAGCTGAGCAGCTGTTGGCTGCTCTCTAACTTCTGCCTAAGATGACCCTCCTCAACTTGTGGGACTACTATTACTTGGGGTTAAATAATTTGCTTTTTGAAATTGCTGTCATTAAAACCGTCGTCTATAAAGTGTAACTCAACTTTCTGTATTTTATGTCAGAGTCATAACCACTGGGTTTTCTCTCGTTTTTTTTTTTTTATTTATTCCCCATTTTCTTTGCTCCTGTTGCACTAGGAGAGTTTAAATGCTCTTACAATTTCTTTCATGATTTTGCATTTCTTCATGATTTTGCAGATAGTTTTACAATCTTTTCCACCAATCTTCAGTCCATACGGAATACTTATGTAAACACTCTTTACCTTGATCACCCTATCTTGCTTTACAACTCCGCTTAAACTTCTTATACTTGGGGAATGCAAGGAGGGGAGACATGGAGGCCTTTGAGGGACCCAGGTGTAGCTTTCTTCTTTATTTTTTCATCGGTCATGGGGCTTGAACTCTGGGGTTGGGCGCTGACCCTCAGCTCTTCAGCTCAAGGCAAGTGCTCTATGCTTGAGCTACAGCACCACTTCCAGTTTTCTGGTGGTTAACTGGAGATAAGAGTCTCATGGACTTTCCTGCCTGGGCTGGCTTTGAACCGTGATCCTCAGATCTCAGCCTCCTGAGTAGCTTGGATTACAAGTGTGAGCCACAGGCACCCAGCTATAGCTTCATTCTTATTGATGGGTGACTCTTAGTAAGTTATTTACTGTGAGTCCCACATTCCTCATCTATAAAATGAGGACATAAAATATTGCTAGGACTCCCTTGGAAATACATGCCTCCATGCATACCCTTTATCAACTAATTTTTGGTCTTTTACCTCTATTACTCATCATATAAAATATAAACATGTGAAACAATACTGCACATAGGAAGCCAGAATGCTGCCCTGCTCGATTTTCTGTTTATGTCTTTCCCCATTTCCTCTCCAGACCTCTGCTCTGGAATGCCTCCATGACTTCCCCCTACTTCCTTTCCCCACATCAGTGTGTGTAGGCCTGGGATGTCTGTGTGTGTGTGTGTGTGTGTGTGTGTGTGTGTGTGTGTGTGTGCACGCGCGTATGCACGTGCAGAAGGGATGCTCTTTCCCAAGACAGGGAAAGTCAACAGCAGCTCTGACTCGTGGGTGAAGGTCATTTAAGGAAAGTAAACTTTGACAGCAATTGAGAAATCACTTAAAAACAACATAAACCAAAGAGTAAGTGGACTGGTGGGAAACAAGAATGCAAGGTACTGAGAGAAAACAAGCGTAATGTTAAAGCAAGATTTGTATGTGGAACGTTGATATTATGTCATTTGCAGAGCAATCGATGATTGTGAACATTGTGTTAAGTGATGTAAGTCAGGCCCAGAGAAACAAAGAACATATGTTTTCTTTCATATGTAGAAGCTAGATCTAACTTATAAACATAGATAGGCTTATATGCATGCACACATAAATATATTAACTAACGTATGGTATATGCAAGGAAGAATTCCAATGGTATAATTCCTTTGAACAACTAAGCTTACAGTCTAGCAAAAATGAGTATCAGGAAGCTGGTACGTGAGTTTTCTGGGGGCTAGGTTTGTGATCTCAAGGGTAGGGGAATAGACAAATGAAGAGAAGGGTAAAAGAATGCACCCATCATATTTAATGTACGTTTGTGAAAATGGAGCTAGGAACATTGAAGGGAAGGTGAAGCTGGGTGAGTGGGAGAAGATGGATGGAAAGGGCAACATTGACCAAGATGTATTATCCTCATAAAATGACACGTTAAATTAAAACCTCTTCATCTAACCACTTAAAAAATAATTTATAGGGGCTGGGACGGTGGCTCAGTGGTAGAGTGCTTGCCTTGCATGCATGAGGCCATGGATTCGATTCCTCAGCCCCACATAAGCAGAAAAAGTTGGAAGGGGCACTGTGGCTCAAGTAGTAGAGAGTTAGCCTTGAGCTGAAAAGCTGAGGGACAGCGCCCAGGCCCAGAGTTCAGGCCCCACGTCTGACCCTAAATAAATAAATAAATTTATAAAAAGTAAGTGTGAAAACTAAAAGGGAAATACATAGGCTTTCTCAGACATCCCTAAAAAAAACACCATGAAATAGCTTGAGTCTGTCTAAAGTGTGCTTTCTCTTAAGTCACATGTAGCTGGCTCTAGATCTGATTGATGGATGCCAACATTGTTTGCATTTTCTTTTGAGCCTAATTTCCTTTATGTACCAGTGATCTCCCTTGGCAGATGGTCTTTAAAAAAAAATCACATCTGTTCTTTCCCCTCTTTTCTAAAACATTCGGCAGGAAGTTAGTATATCAATATCTGAGAACCATTTAGGCATATTTTTTTGAAACTTTACCCTGGAAATTCGCAGATAATTTCAGGCCCTCATCACGTTTCATCACAAAGAGAAAGGCTGGACTCTTCAAAGACATGAATCATAACAGAGCTTTACAATCAGTGTCGGGAGACAGGTATGTGTTTTATGTGTGCTTCTTAGTGGGGAAGGAAGTTGGGGTGTCAGTTAGAGGCTAGGATAGGCATATGTGTATTTTGTATGTTAGGGAGGACTGGGAGGAAGGAAGGAAAAGGAGCTAAGTCACATGACTACAAAACCAGTCTGGGTGCAATTCCAGTTGTAAGGGGACATGGATCATAAGGCATAGTAGGTGTGAGGTTCTTTTGAGACTGTGATGGCTCTTTTTCTCCTTACATAGACCAGATTGTTGATAGGGGACTTCTTTCAGGAAAAATATAAGAGTTTTCAGGCCTAGTGATTTACTGTAAGTCCTTTGGGCCTATTGTAAGAAGGAAAAAATCTTTGAGGATTCAAAAAAAAAATCCCTGCACAACCATAGTATACCCATGGAACAGAATATGACACTATAGGTACCACAATTGGGTTACTGATATATTCTACAACATGAGTGCATCTTTAAAAATAATTATACTAGATAAAATATTCCAGAACAATGATATGTATGATATGATTCTTTTGGCTATATCTCTTGGCCAAATTTTTATCAAATGGGACACTTTACACGTCAGTGATTATTACATACCAATCACATCTCAATGGTGATGTGTAAAAAGAAAAAAAAGATTAAAAGAAGGGGTGAAGCTGGCTCCCAAATTCTTTTTTTTTAAATTTTTTATTGTGAAAATACTGTACAGAGGGGTTACAACAATTACATTGGGCAAGATATTGAGTACATTTCTTATCAAGCATTGTAGCCTCCTCCTTTGTTTCCAAATTCTTAAGTTAAACAGAAGGATGTGCATACTGTGTTGGCTCATGAGTCCTGGGAGGGGAGAGGACTGGTACCTGCGTTGCCAGTGCTCTGTCCTCTGTACTTCACAGGGAGACACCGAGCTTCTGATCGCAAATACTTCCAGGTGCCCTGGATGGAGTATGTCCAGACCCAACCCCACCTCAGAGGTGAAGGAAGTATTCCTTCTTTCTTGAGAAAATCCTCTCTGACACTGCAAAGGTGTTTTAGATTCATCCTTTCAGAAAGGGTTGCATAACACTTAGAGAATGAGAATTGCAAGAGGGAGACAGACACAGACTGTGAAATCTGGACTTCCCACTCACCGTGACCCTCGCTAGCCCCCACTCAGTGAGTAAGAAGGAAGAAAGGAATCACAGCAAGCTGACCTACCAGGAACAGAGCCACTGCAGTGCCCAGGATGAAGCCCGCGATCACATCCGAGCAGTGATTCCGGTACTCCGAGACCCGGTTTAGACCAGTCAGGAAGGCTGTACAGAGAGTCCCCAGGCACAGCACCGGCTTGGCCAGTCGACTGCTCTTTGTCTTGATTGTGCTTGTGATGTACATCTGGAGAGGAAGAAATGCCAGGGAGTGACCAGACCGTTTCTTCCTGCTGGGGTGGACCCGTGTATGCACGGACAACACCGGATACATGAGCAGAGGTCCAGCCAAAGCAACTCCTTTTCCATGAGCAACTCCACTGAGTTGCCTAGCAACAAGTTTAAATAGGAAAACTAGTGCAGCAATGCCACTGAACAGATACACCTCAATCACTCCTCTCTAGTTTAGTGAACATGGGAAGAGAAGTTATGCTGTTGTAAAAATGATTGGGTTTAGAACATGCCACAAATTAGAAGATGGTTTGGGGTTACTTGGAAAACCATGAAAGAAGCTTAAATTAAAAAAAATCCTCCCATGAGAAGGAATTTTAAGGTAGAGAAGGCCAGTTACAACAATAATTTGACTTATGGTACCCGTAATTCTATCTGCTTCTCTGCACACTTTACGGCAATAATGCAAAGTGTTGACTATTTGGTGGACTGAAACAGAACGGTCCAATCACTGATATCAAACAGATGGTAGTTGTGCTGAAGTAAAGATTCCTCATTTCTTGGGACATCTGTGCTCCCTGCCTTTATTTACTCCAAGGAGTTTGAAAATATTAAACTTTCCTGTGTGTACCACAACATGCAAAAGGGTTGGAAGAGTTGAACGAACTAAAGCATAGTATGACATGTAAGATGTGGGCTGTTATTAGTACTTCATCATGAGAAAGTATTTGAATGTATTTCTGATGGTAGAATTAGGAAGATGGGCAAATCACCACTAGAGGGCATCATTGGTCCATCATTGCTGAACAGATGGGCTCTGTTTAGTAACTCTTGATACTTAGATCATGGCATCTAGCATGTTCACATGGTCTGAGCACACATGTGTTCAAATAGATGCACTTTACAACATTACAATGGACACCTGAATTTCCTAGAAAGAGGTTTTTAACACTAATATGAAGACTGAGAAATAGGAATCTTCATTCTATGTTACAGATGCTCTACAAACACATTGCTGGATCAAAGTTACATAAATTGCATCCTATTCTGAGACCATATGGGAACTAATGATTAAAATGTTTACAATGTATGTTTAGCTTTTTGTGCTCTGGTATTGCTTTGTAATTCATCCCTTGTAAATCTTTTCTTTAAGAGCATGAACTATTTAGAGTTTGCCCAGTTTTAGCTGGTAGCAAGGATATTGTGGAGTTTCTCTTTTGATTTTTACTTGTCACACAATAATTGTAAAGATTTATGATGTTTCAATGCACATCCACATTGTGTAATGATCAGCTACTGGTAATTAGCATATCCATCATTCCGGCGTAATAAGAACTTAACACCTAAGCAGGCTCGAGGATATCTGGGGTCAGACCCTTTGTCCTAGAGGGGAGTGTGATTTGCATCAGGTTGAATACAAACTCCAAATGTGTGCTTTTGCAGCCCCTGTCCCAGTGAGGTTTATGTCTCATTTATTAATAAGACTGGTTTAAGTAATAGATTTTTTTTTTTGGCCGGTCATGGGGCCTGAACTCTGGCCATGGGTGCTGTCCCTCAGCTCTTCAGCTCAAGGCTAGCGCTCTACCACTTGAGCCACAGCGCCACTTCCAGCCTTTTCTGTTTATGTGTTGCTGAGGAATCCAACACACAGCCTCATGCATGCTAGGCAAGCACTCTACCATTGAGCCACCTTCTCAGCCCTCTAGATTTGTTTTTTATGCTGAAATCATGAAACTTAATTTCCTACAGCAGTGATTTGAATCTGATAAAAGTACAAGACAAGAGTACACCACCTTATGCAAATCAGGTTCTACATAATTTAGGACAAATCAATATCTTAAAAATGGAAAATAGACTGAATGTCTCAGAGGGTTTCTTTGCTTAGAAAAATATCCACGTAAGTTTTTTTTCTTTTTCTTTGGTAAAGAAGTCAAAACAAGTGACAATTTGTTTGTTTACAAACAAATTTGTATTCACACTTCCTTAACCTTGGGGCAGCTGAAATAAGGACACAAATGGTTTGTTCTTTCTTGCTATTGTTTATAACATATTTCTAAGGTACTACGGGATTTTTTTTTGTTGCCTTATATGTCCCTCCTCCACGGTATAACCCTGTTTTCACTGTATTTGATGTTGGTATAATTTGGGCAGGGGAAGGGAAAAAGCAAATTGTTTAAATAGGAACACAGGTTGACCCATTGCAACAATGAGATGTACAAGATGCTATGTCAAAAAATGAACTTTACAATTTAGGCGGGGGGCAGGAGAGGAGGAGTGTAGTTGTGGAGGTGGGAGGGAAGGGATTGTAGGGGAAAAACAAAGGAGGAGGCAACAATTCTTGATAAGAAATGCACTCATTACCTTGCTCATGTAACTGCAACCCCTCTGTACAGTATTTTCACAATAAAAAACTTATTTAAAAAATCAGGTAGACCATAAGAAACCGTCATCCTGTAGATGAGATGCTGGAGCAAAAATGGAACACAAAGGTACTACCTGCCCTACGTTGTGTGAAAGAGAATATTCACCATTATTTTATTTTATATTTTTAAGCTAATACTGGAGATTGAATTCAGCATTTCTTGCTTAGCTTTCTTGCTGATAGTTAGTGCAACACCTCAACCATGCCTCCAGTCCAGATTTGTGCTAGTTAAGTGGAGATAAATGTCTTCTAGACTTCCCTGTTAGGGCTGGCTTTGAACTGTGATCCTCTAGATTTCAACCTCCTGAGTAGCTAGGATTACAAATGTGAGCTGCTGGGTGTGTGAAGCTCATGCCTTGTTTTAAATGCTGCTGCATAGATTGGGCCTGTAGTTAGCACCATTGTTCCAGCTTTGGAGCCATGGGAAGAACCCAGATCCCTCAGAGACGGAGAGGGCCTCCTGCAGCTATGGTCTTGTAGACATGTATTCTAAATATAAGAGAGGGAGTGTTTCTGACCAATAGCTACTTCAGTGGGTACATGTATGTGACTCTTACCAGTCCTATTAGCATGTATGCCTTTAAAATGACCTTGCTGCTTCTGTGTTCTTGGGCTTAAGGGAAGCACAGATCAGAGAAAGGTGAAAGGTGTCCCTATCCAACATGGATACAGTCAAAAGGCAGGGAAATAAGTCCATTGTTTCTTCTCTACTAAGAGCAAAAATGTTCAAGAAAACCTTACACCCTAATGAGATAGTCAAGGCGGTATGATCTAGAGGCGCAGTGTGACATGAACTCTGGGGTATTGGTGTTTTAGGATCACACACCTCTTCTAGTAAATTGATGAAGTGTCAGGAGAAGCAAAGCAAGGATGTGTAACCCCCTGGTCAGTTTGCACAGAAAAAGGGCAGCCATTTACCTAGGGCCACATTTGTAGGCCAGTGTGAGAAAGGTGGGATCTTCTGAACCTTGGCCCAAACTGGCAAAGAGTGGATGATAAGACAATCCCCATCCTGATTCCAGGAGTCTCGATCTCAGCTTTACTGTGAGTTCCTAGTTATCCTCCCAGCATGATTTCTGCACATACCTAGGGAATTATCAAGGTTTATCTGCAGAACTAACATCCCTGGAATATGAGATCAGGATATGATACTGGAATGACGGAAGTGAGGTTGGGACATTGTAACAATAGCACATGTGCCTCAGGAGAAACACGTCATACATGACTTGAAAGACCACTTGCAAACGACAGGGTAGTAGTTGGAGGTAGGGGTGTGTGCACATCCCAGCAAAACCTCAGCTTCAGGGCAATAGGAGACTTGAACACTCACCGTGGCATATAAGGCGGAGTAAATGCTCAGAGCAGCATGCTTGGAGGGAAAAGATCTCCGAGCCTTTTCTATAACTTCCAGGTCCCCAGTGCAAATGTTCCCATTGTTGATGAACTGGTGGTGTGCCCGGCAGTCTGAGCTGGTATAGTTTGGCTTGCACACTGTCAGGAAGTATGGTGTTAGGTGTCCAGTGACCACTTGTCCAGCATTTACAAAAATGTCAGTAGCAAACAGTCCAAATGCAAACACCCCTGTAAAGAGATTGAAGAGAGTTCAGTGCATGCAATTCCTGACCAGTTTCTCCCCTGAGAAGAAAGAGCAGTTAAGAGTCTGTGATGATCCATCACAAAGATTCTAAGAACATCCCACCTTTAAGAATGCCTCCCATCTTTATCTTCCCAGGGAAGGAGCCTGCTTCTCAAAGCCTCCTTTCCACTAGCCTAGGCAAACAGTCTATTGTTGGTGTTTTATTGTTTGATGTAAGTAATTCAGAAGTAGCATATTCTAATGGGAAGGATTTGAATTTTGGCATGTCATAGACCTGGGCTTCAGTCTCCCCTTTGGTGAGCCAATTACAGTAAACATTGTTTACCTTCTTTAATCCTTGGTACTCTTGGTAGAAAACTGGAGGGCAGATAGTGGAGAAGATGAACGAAGACACATGTAAAATACCCAGTAAGGTATCTTGTTTTAAGTAACTATGCAACATCAGGTTTCTTTCTATAGAAAATAATTTTTCCCTGCTCTTATACAAGAAAATAAATATTCCTACGAGGAGTAATCCGTAACAGCATGGTACGTGACTATGGTAGATAAGCGTTTTCAGAGTGTTAATGCCTATAAAGGTAAACAAGAAATATTCTCCACATTTGATTCCTCCAGAAATTTGAACATTTTATCTGATGAGGGGTTCAGAAAATGAGACTATAGGAAAAGTCATGCTAGTGGTATTTGAATTATTTACAATATTACTGCTGCAGTGAATTCCCGCCCACCAACTAGCTTAACACAAGATAAATAGGTCATCACTGAGCTCTGGAAGTAAGAAACCCAACGTCAGATTTCACCAGGCTACACTCAAGTTGTTGGCAGGCTGAGTTCCTTCTGAAAGTGCCACAGGACCATGCATGCCTGGCTGTTTCTAGCTTTTACAAGTGCCCTCCTTCCTCATGTTATGGCCTCTTTCCAACTTTCACACAATTCCAACATCTGCTTCCATCCTCACACCTCCTTGCGCCCTGACCTCCTGGCTTGTCTTCTTAAAAGCACCCTTGGGATTATATGTCCTCCATCTGGATAATCCAGGATAATCTGCTCATGTCAAGAGTCTTAACATAATCACACCTGACAATTCCCCTTTGGTCCTATAAGGTAATGTATTCAGTTTCCAGGAACACGGCTGTCTTCTGGTGAGGGGGAGAGGGAACTTCTTTTCTGACTTGGTTATTTGGCTGAGAACTCTGCGTGTGGGGGGCACCTCTAGATTTTAATCTTCTCTGTGGTAAATTTCACAAGATCAGCATCAACAAAAGTCTGATTATGGAAAAAACAGAATACTTTCCTTTAAGATTATTTTTGGCAGATAGAGGAAAGCATAAAATTGTGCCTATTTATGGGGTATCAAGTGGTATTCCAACATGTGTATATTGGGTTATGTTTAAATCAGGCTACATACATCAGTGTCTTCAAATATTGGTTATTTGGTTACAGTAAAAATATTTAAACCCTTGTTTTCTAGTTACAATGTAACACACGATTGTTCTCTCTGGTCACTGTACTGTGCAATGAGCAGAATATCCTATTTGTTTTGAACTAAAATTTAGTTCATATTAATCTGCATTTCCTCACCCCTCACTTCCTGCCACTCTCTCCTGATGCTGGTAGCCATCAGTCAACTCAATTTCAATGAAGTCAACTGTTTTTGATTCCACTTAGATGTGAGATTCACTTAGCATTATTTTTTCTAGTTCCATTCACCTTGTCAAAAATGGCAGAATTTAATTCCTTTCTTTAATGGCTGGAGAGTATCCCATGACAAATAGGTACCACAGTTTTTTTGTCCATTTATCTGTTGATGGACACTTAGGTTGTTTCTATCTCCTTGCTATTGTGAGCAGTGGGAGTGCGGAGCTAGCATTGAGATACTGATTTTATTTCTTTGGGATATATACCCCAAAGATGGTATTGCTGGATCATATAACCGTTCTACGTTTTGCTTTTTTTTTTTGAGGATCCTTCCTACTATTTTCCATAATGGAAATTTATATTGACAGCTGTCAATTTATATTGCCATCTATTTATATTGACAGCAACAGTAAGCAAAGGTTCCCTTTTCTTTTACACCCCGACGATCCTGTTACCTTAAAGGTGACAGGCCACAACCATTCTTAGTTGTCATTCTGAGTTGTTTTCCCTGATGATTCTGTGATGTTCAGCCTCCTTGGCTTTTTGTCTTGTTTTAAAGAAAGGTGGACTGCCACGGGTAGCACTTCATTTGGGATGTGTCTGGACGCTGTCAACCCCATATCGTCTGTGGACTTTGAGATCCTCTCTGGATGTTTTACCAGGGGATCATTGTTATTCGTATACCTTGACTGAAAAATGATAGTTCAAGGGTGTGGCTTTGAGAGGGTTTTATATGGAATGGGGAGGGTGGAAGGTGACATCTGGGAAGCCAGATCAGCTGAAGGAGCCCTGGGATCGCTGGGGCGACAGATGTAGCCAGCTCCTCCCTCCTATCCATTCATATACTTGCTGGCCCTTGAATTTGTCCAATAGAATTCATTATAGGAAGTTTTGCTGTGAATTATTTCAAAGCCTATTCTTTCTATCTATTAAATAAATGATGCTAAGCCTGGCCCTGGTGGCTCATGCCTGTCATCCTAGCTACTCAGGAGGCTGAGATCTGAGGATTGCGGTTCAAAGCCAGTACAGGCAGGAAAGTCCATGAATCTCTTATCTCCTATTAAGCACCAGAAAACTGCTAGTGGTGCTGTGGCTCAAGTGGTAGAGCACTAGCCTTGAGCTGAAGAGCTCAGGGACAGTGTCCAAGCCCAGAGTTCAAGCCCTATGACCAAGAAAAAATAAAAATAACTAACTAAATAAATAATGTTAAATATATCAAGAGAGGCTGACTAGAACCAGGTCTATAAGGGATGCAGAGATAAAAAGAGCTTTTTAAGTGCAGTGGCAGGAGAAGTTTCCAAGTGTGAGAACCAGCATTAACCCCTATGTCCAGAATATGCTAGGGTTTTAATTACATTTCTGTCCAATTTTGACTCCCCTATTCAATGTCTTGAATCCGAAAATGGTGCTGATTTCAGCACCTCAACGTTAATCTATTGTAATAGAAGGGAAAACACATTTGGCTGAAATCTTCATCCAGTTTCGGTTTGATTGGTATTGATTGCTATAATTTTCCTTTCTGTGGCTTTGCCAGAACATGCTTTATCACAATGAGAGCCGGCTCTTTTAATAACTTCAGCTAGCTTCTACTTACAGGCTCTGACCCCTGGGTACAGGCATCCATTGATCATGCCTGGCAGTTTTCACCCCCGGGTTCTTGAAGTCCGAATGCCTGGAAAATTTTTACATTCTCAAGCAAGATTTTCAAAGGCCAAGTCTCTGGCTTTGTCAAAGAGCCATCAGTTTGTCTAGACATCCTTTTCCAGGAAATGAAGATAATGTATGATTTATAAAAGGAAAGGTGACAGTATTTTCCTCCAGAGTTGCATCTGTCAGAAGTGCCTTTAGTCAAGGCAGGTTTGTTCTTCTCGAGAGGAAGGATTTCTAGGCTCCTTGGATCAGTGTCTGAAATGCCAGCTTGGTGGCCAAAATCATTCTGTGACTGATAGCTCTTGCCTTCCCTGTCCTATGTGCCCTGGCTGAGCATTGCTTCTCTCTACATCCTCTAGATGGAGTCCGCTTCTCCAGATGGGTTAACGGCATCTACTTTCCTAACACTTTGTGTGTGTGTGTGTGTGTGAAAATACAATACAGAGGTATTACAATTACATGGGCAAGGTAATGAGTACATTTCTTATCAAGCATTGTTGCCTCCTCCTTTGTTTCCCCTTCCCATTCCTTCCCATCCCTCCCACTCTCCCCCCCCCCAACATTTCTTGTGGTGCATTTGATCTAGCCTGAGAAAGGCTAGAAATCCTTTACTTGGGGAGCCCAACTTCCTGGCCCAGGCCATGCTAAGGGACAGTAAAATCTTCCATGGTGACTGTAGATGTAGCATCAGATCACATGGAGGTTTGGTAAAGAAGTCTAGACCACTCCCCCTGCTACCTAACCCTGAATTCTTTATAAATGGTTTTGTAAGCTTCAGAAACTAAAAAAAAAAAAGCTGGTTTTTTCCTTAGAGTCTTGGTGAAGTACCATTTATGGTGCCTTGTATTGTGAAGTATGATTTAAAGGATTTAAAAAAAATAACTATGTGTCCTAGCTTAATGGCTAAAATTCTGTAAGAGGGGGATCCTGTTCTGTGGAATGTTAACCCATTTATCATTCTTATGCTCCTTGCCCCACTGGTTCTATTTGTCTTATGCCTCCAGTTCCATCAACAGCCCTTCCTTGCTTCAGTGGAGCTGATTGCATTTCAGAAGGGAATTCTGAATTTACGGCAGTCACGAGGCTTAAATATAAAACATTTCACCAGAGCTGCGTGTTTGAGACATTCACTGCTGCTATTGTTTCTTCGTTTGTTCCAAACTCTGATTCATGGCAAGAAGGATAAGAAAACTGAGTTTCTAAAATCAGCCACAGAGTTGGGTGCTGGTGGCTCCTGCCTGTAACCCTAGCTACTCAGGAGGCTGAGATCTGAGGATCAAGATCCAGAGCCAGCTCAGGCAGGAGAGTCCATGAGACTCTTCAGTTAATTAGCAAAACAAAACAAAAACAAAAAAAAACCTGGGAGTTGAGCTATGGCTCAAGTGTCTAGAGCACCACCCCTGAACAAAACAGCTAAGGTAAAGTGTCAGGTCCAACACAGAGCAGAGAGGATGCGAATGAGAATGCTCCAGGAGGACAGCCAGGCCAGATCTTGCTGATGGAGTGAAGGGGAAAGGCATTTCTGTGCTCCCTGCCTTGGTGGTGGCATCAGGCCTTCGGGGCTGGGTGATCAAAATCTTCAAAATGACATTTCAGACATGCAGAGGGAAGTGTGTTCTGTGCCTTTCAGGATACAGCTCAAGAGCCCTGCAAAACTCTTTTTTATATGTTTTATTGTAAAAATACTGTACAGAGG